ATGGAAATGAACAAATCAAGACTTCAAGGATGAAGGAAAAGGGGTGGGGAATAGGGAAAGGAAAGAGAGTGAAATGAATCAAAGTAATTTCTTATGTGCTTATATGAATACACCATAGTGAATCCTGCCATCATGTACATTCATAATGGAGTCCTAACTTAAATAGGACGGATTCCATGCTTGTACAATTATATCAAAATGAGCTTTACTGTCATATGTAAATAATTTTTTTTTAAAGTTAAAAATTAAAAGTTCAGAGCTGACAGCACAGTATCTAGGAAATGGCTGTTCCTCGAGGATACAAATAAAATACAATTCCTGTACACCTACAGTAACTCTTAGAATCACTTAATGAAAGACCCATTGTTCCCCAGGACAATTAGAATCACTGCCTCTAGAAACAAAGGGATCCCCTGTTTGTTTTGCTAGCAAAGCAATAAAACTTCTTTTTCCATTTTCTCAAAACCTTGTCCTCATTATTGGATCAACTTTGGGGGAAAGGACAGAAGGCAAGTCATTCTGTGCCTAACCTTTGTGATGCTTACTTTTCCAGTAATTCAATTCATCTTTAAAATAAAGTTGCTTGTTACCCAAATCTGATATTGGAACATTTGACAGTATAGAAATAGCCCCACAACACCAAAAATTATACCCCCCAAAAATCATCAAGTTCCCCATTCCATCATAGTTAGAAACACATCTACATTTGGATCCCCAGTCTCCTGGTGCTCTGTGCGTCTCTCAGTGTAAAAGACCCCTTCCATGCTTGGTGGCAACAGAATGTGACAGCAGCAGGGGAGCCTCCCAGAGAGAACTGGGCCTTCAACAATATCATTTTTATAGGTTCAAAGTTTGGCCTTAGTTTATATCTTTTGGGGGTAAAATCGACCTGTATCTTGCCTCTTAGAAAACATTTTCATATCTTTAAAATAGTACTGACAAAATACATAGTTTATGAAAAATGAGGATGAAATTAGTGAACATCTATTTTTTAAACTGACAAACCCAGAGAAGGGCACTGCTGACTGGAACACAAACATGACTGACTCAAGGGTCAAGTCAGGTTATCTGACCAAATGGAAAATTCTCCCATAAACATCCAGCTCATGTAAGGACTGGATGACCTTCCTCACAATGTGGCATTGTCCTGTGCCCTTGTATCTGCATGAAGTGAG